GCGGCCGCCGCCGAAAATGTAAAAAACCATAGAAACGCGAAGCACAAGTGTATGCTTTTGGGTACCATATCGCCGTGGCCCAGACTGCATTCATCTTCTTTGACGTTATGATTTGGTTGCGTGTTGACTTTTTACATCCGCGGCTGCCATCTCGTAAACGGGGGCCTATGGCCTGTGGGGTCGCGAGAGAGCGTCGTGAGCATATGTCTTATTAGCTGCAGCTTCAGTTGCGCTATCGTGGAGGCGCCAGTTTGTCGCCTTAGCTCGGGCCGCCTTAGCTTGGGCCTGCCAAAACCATAGCGGGTCCATTTGAATTCGGGGAGCTTTGTTTTCAATTTCTTCGCCACATGAGTACCACTCGGGCCGCTGTTTCCGTGTGCCGTCCTAGCCTGGCTCAAGCGAGACGCCGATGAGATCGCCAGGCATGGCGCTCCGGGACGTTGCGCTGCTTTCTGGCGCTGGCCTGGCTATGACGAAACGATCCTGCGATCGCCAGGAATGGCGTTATGGGACGTTACCGTTGTTTCGGTCCTAGCCTGGCTATGGCGAAACGATGATAAAAGCCACGAAGTGCGACAGGGTTGCAACTTTCCAACGTTATGAATGAGTTTTTGGAGCTCTGGCACAGGACGTCCTCACCAAAACGACGACGATCGTAACGTTGAGTACTCCTAAATAAAAAAAAGCAATTGTGTATATTTACGGATTCGCAACGTTATGATCGGCGTCGTTTAGGTGAGGACGTCCTGTGCCAGAGCTCCAAAAACTCATTCATAACGTTGGAAAGTTGCAGCCCTATCGCACTTCGTGGCTTTCATCATCGTTTCGTCATAGCCAGGCTGAGACCAGGAAAACCGTAACGTCCCAGAACGCCATTCCTGGCGATCCCCGGACAGTCTTGTCATAGCCAGGCTAGCACCAGAAAGCAGCGCAACGTCCCGGAGCGCCATGCCTGGCGATCTCATCGGCGGCTCGCTTGAGCTAGGCTAGGACGGCACACAGAAGCAGCGGCCCGACTAGTAGAATCGGAGCCCCGTATCGTGCATAGAATTCAGAAGGGGCCCTCGAAACGGCCTTGCAGGAAGGCCGTGGATGGAAACGATTAGCGCGAAACTGACTCGTAACGTTGGAATTTCTGCATTCGGAGCCCCCTTCTCCGATTACGAATCACACGATGGGGCCTTCTTGGGGAATTCCAGGTCCGTATGACACGCGTCGGCGGATAGAGAAACAATCACACATTGCGAATGAGAGGCAACCCAAGAGACCCTCATATTCATCCAAGAGCTCCTGTTTCTCGTCCTCCCGCCTCCTCCTCCTCCTACTACTACTCCTCCTCCTCCTCCCCC